ATAAATTTTTATGAAATTGTGTTCGTGAAAAATGAAAATTGATTCATGATTCATGAATCGTTATTTCGAACCCTCTAATTTCAATTTTAAGTAGGTGTAAATAAAAAACTGTTTGAAATATTGACTTCAAAATTTTGTATACAGTCAGAGACCATGGAAGCACCTCTAAATATGTTAAATGTGTCCTTAGAAGGTCTAGAAGTTTGGACGCATGCAATATATACAGCCTCGAATGTTATACATATTCTCTAATACCTCTGCATCTTTATAAACTGAACATGAACACATTAACCATTCAAAATTCAAATTAATTAATGCAATTTGACTAAAAATTGCCAAAAAATCTCCGGTCATTTTTGATAAGGCCAAAAAAAAAATATGTGGGTTTCCGGTTTCTTCTTATAAAAACTTAGGTAGGGTAGGTCGGTTTTAACTTTTTTTTTTAAACTTTTTTTTTTAATTTTCCGAACAACCGGACGCCATTTTGTTTAGTCAGTGCTTCCACATCCAAAGATAAATTTCCCTAATATTGCCTCAAATTTCAATTTTCCACAAAGTTTTTCCTCTAAGCGGAAACACTTAGGCCTTTCCCGATTGCGCTGGGCACTTTTTGAGCACTTTTTTTTGTTTGGAGCACCATTTTGCATGTTGAGCAACGTTGAGCACTTTTTCGCACTTTGGGCAACATTTGAGCAATATTTCACATTTCGAGCGAATTTTGAGCAACAAAAAGTTAGCGATTATAGAATTCGATTCGTACCTCGATTAACTAAACATACAGTTCGGAGTAAGGTTTAAAAATTGACGGGTATTATACTATTGTTTTATATATAATTTAGGTATAACTCCAAAAGAAAAGCCGTACAGCTGCATATGACATTACAGTTAAAAAATTAGAACGCTGACTTTTTTCGAGTTCTCTTTTTTTTGTCGTAAACAACTCCATATACGGAAGTTTGTTCCATATATGGAGAAAGACGTGGAAACAGATTTTAAAAAATGCTGATTTTAAAAAATTTACGAAAATCTTAGAGGTAACTGTTCACAATTTTAGCACTTTTTGAGCACTATTTTGAGATTTTGAGCACTTTTGAGCACTTTTTAGCCATTTTTGCCAGCACTTTTTTAGGATTTTACCAGCGCAATCGGGAAAGGCCTAGAAACACTTACAAGCATGATCCAATAAAAAAGTTTAGGGTCGGGATTTCGACGTCCAAAAGCTAGGTAGGGTCGGGAAACCGGAAACCCACATATATTTTTTTTGGCCTAACAAAGTCTAATAGCAATAAAACTCCAGTTCATCAGTTCTGTCCTTGATTACATGCAATTAACAATAAGACAGGGCATTCATATACTTCTTAGCTTAAGGGGGCATTTATAATTCCTCTGTAACTGCTGGAAAAAAGGGCACTTTTTTCCACAAAAAGGGCACATTTTCTCCTTGCACAAAAAGTGGGGGGGGGACCTACCCCCAATGTCTCCCCCCCCCCATTCCGCTGCCTCTGTATATGTACAGTCATTTTGTACTAATGTCTACTAATGGTGAGAAAATGAGCTATATCTTAAGAGGTGGGTGCAGATGTTTTCTGGTGTCAGGCAACTTTTAACTCATGGAAGGTGAATGCGACAAGGCGGAGAAAACCTCTGGGCGCGTCCTGTCTAATTTCATGTCCATGGTCCATGACATAATGAATCAAATGACTAATTTTTTTGTGTTTGTCAATGTGATATTTTCTCTGAGAAGAGTGTGAATGAACTAGTGCATAAGCAGTCTATTTTGGAGACAATGTGTCTTGAAACTAATGATGACAACAGGTCGGCAAAGACTTGGGCAAAGATTATACCAGAACTCGAGACAGCTGCATGTAACATATTTAAAACAAATTCTGTCCAAATTGTAACATTAATTAACATGAATAAATAAAAATGAAGACAATAATGACATTCCGGAACAGGCATTTCAAGTTTTCAACGTTTCCAAGCGGCGAAATGATTTGTTTTTAAGATCAGACGAGTAACCATACAAAATGATTTACAAATATATAGGCATATAAACAGTGATAATACGAAAGTTTATATTGATATATCTGAACTAAAATTCTGTTTTAAATTTTAAAGTAGATGTACATAAATAAAACAAACAATAAACTTAAAAATATACCTTCATTGAATCAAAACAAGCTGTAACTTTTCCTCCATTTTCAACTTGTACGTTTTCATCTGGATGTGCAAATCGACATTCCGACTCCGCTCTTGCGCATTTTCCACGCTGAAATTCCCTACAAACTTCAACTTGCAACCAACGGGGATCTTTTACATTGTGTAACGAAGCATTTTCCACAAACGAGTCGGTAATTGCGTTCATTCTTTACGAAATATTTCGCTTAAAAACATTACAATAGCACAATCTTAATAATCTTCCTTCCAAAATGGCGGATCCGTGCGGCTACCACTAAAGAATGCCCGGGAATGCCCGGGGAGATTCGTTGAATGCCCGGGAATGCCCGGGAGTTGGGAAAGAATGCCCGGGGAAAATTAAGTTCATACTTACGTTAGTTTATACTAATAAAATCACTTATTTTATGAAAGATGAAATAATTCTTGTAATATATGGCATTGCAAAGTACTGTTCACGGAATGTCCGGCTGTCACAAAAGAATGCCCGGGAGTCGAAAATGTATGCCCGGGGTAAAATTACGCAAGTAATTACGATAGTTAATGATAACATTAACAAGTCTTTTATTTTTTAATGAAAGTTTCTTGTAATATATGGCATTGCAAAAACTATTCACAGAATGCCTGGGAAAATTACGTACCGCTAATGTCTTTTTCAAATCTACTCAGAATATATCACTATCAGTGAAATATATTTTCGGTAGTGTAAAAAGATGTTTCTTCATTATTATTTAGCATTACAAAGCCAAATAAATAATTTCTGTGAATAGTTTTTACAATGCCATATATTACAAGAAACTTTCATTGATTAAAATAAAAGACTTGTTAATGTTTTCATTTTAATATAACTATCGTAATTACTTGCGTAATTTTACCGCGGGCAATCATTTTCGACTCCCGGGCATTCTTTTGTGACAGCCGGACATTCCGTGAACAGTACTTTGCAATGCCATATATTACAAGAATTATTTAATCTTTCATAAAATAAGTGATTTTATTACTAGTATAAACTAACGTAATTATGAACGTAATTTTCCCCGGGCATTCTTTCCCAACTCCCGGGCATTCCCGGGCATTCAACGAATCTCCCCGGGCATTCCCGGGCATTCTTTAGTAGGACCCGATCCGTGCTCGTTTCCGATAACTTACGGCTGTTCACGGCCACTCACGGCTTTAAGCGGCATGTAGTAAAAGAAGGAATGCCGGAACACCGGAATGCCGGAACACCGATCAGTGCTAAGTAATAATATCACAGATGAAGTATATACCAGATGTCTAACTTAGGGTTTCGTGTCCTCAAATTTCCCTAGATGTACACATCTTGTTCACGCCATGACACTTGCTAGCAAAATGGCGTCCTGAAAAACACGACGTTTTGCATTTTATTGCGGATATTTTGGATCGAATTTTTTTGTTTTTGAAAGCAAGTAAAGTGGTAGAAAATGTGTTGAAAGCATTTTTGAAAGCAATACCAATGACATTGATGTATTGCCAAATCACGAATTATCACGCGAGCGACACTTGCTAGGAAGATGGCGACCGTCGGAAAACCATTGAACTATATATAAATAAACTTATAGTTCTTTATATATTATAGTTATTTATAGTTCAATGGGGACAACTTTTTACTGAAGTTACACATCTGTCCTTACTTAATCTGTGATAGTCTGTGACTTGTTTGTCGTGATCTGTTGGCTCGCGTCATTTGAAATTTAATTAGATGGTACATCAACCACGCCATTTCAAACGTAGTGAAGTGATTCTATAATTAACGCGCGCGCATCCAAGACAAGAGAAATTAACTTTGCACATTAGCGAGCTTAAGATGCACCGAAATCTACTGATGCGGACATGACATAAAAACTGTTGCTAATGTTTAGAATCATGCCGTTTTATTTTGCTTCACTTGTGTCTCTGACTTTGTTTACCAACTGGAGGCCATAATTTTTATCCGTGGTATTGAAACTTTGGGAATACAGTAGTTATAATTTTTCTTCACGCCCGCGTCGTAGATTTGGTGCATCTTAAGCTAGAGACTTAGAGCTATCTTAAGTCACGTACTATCTAGTGGCTTTCCCTCCTGATCTATAGTATTGTGTTTCTCGCAAATACATCTTTAATGTGAATCAAATTGGACAAGGCGCGGTATTGATGCTCCGTTAAACTTTTAATTCAGGAAATTTATCAATCTATCTATTAATGCAGCCTATAAAACTGCTTCTTTCAACTTTTGTTCTCTTATTTAATAATATTATTAGACATTTCAAAATTCAAATGTTTCAATTCAATCAAAACACGAAACGCCTGCGAACAGGCTATGATGTTTACAATATCCAATCAGAACACGTAGTCTATCGAACCTATAGTCAGCAGCCAATCAACTCTTTGCTTCCATTTTTGAAAGTTATGTGTGGAATGTGAACCCGAAAACTACGCCAATTTCACCAGAGGGTTATTCAAAACAGGCGAAAATAAATACCCTCTGGTTCCAGGGTACAATGTAAACCAAACATTACCGCATTCCTTGTGAATGTATATACTTCATCTGTGATATTATTAGCACTGATGAAGATCCGGGCTTACGGATCGAAAGCTAATTTGCAGTAATAAATTTACTTTTTTCCACAAACAAAAGTACAGTATTATATAATATATGTATTCCTTCGCGGGAAAAACGTATGAGATGTCTCACAAGACAATTATTTTTTAGCAACAATTCGTAATGCAAATCGTTGCCGACCCAATCGAATTTCCGTAGTTACTAAAACATGGAACGACCACAACAACCCACAACGATTCACAACGACCCATAACGATCCACAACGACCCACAACGACCCCACAACGACCCACAACGATCCACAACGACCCA